GCGGGAAAGCCCGCGGCCGCAGGCGTCGGTTCTGGCCTGCGTGCCCGTCTGCCTGTGTGCCAGTACGCAGCTGCCAAAAGCCTTTGAAAGGTTTATTGAGCCGTCGCAGCCGTGGGTCCCTCAGCCCTACCGCACAGCCGCGGCAGCAGGAGGAAAAACGCTGCCAGTCTCGAATTAAAAATGCCAAAAATTGTCGGAGGTTGGTCGGTGACCGCGGCTGCTGGCCGCTGCTCCCCGTTCTGCCAGCCTTTTGGTGACAGGAACCGCTCTCGCAGTAGTAATGGTAAATAGCAGTCAGCCCTAGTGTAAACCACAGGTGGATTTGGGGTTTTTAAAGGGAAGAAACAAATCCAGAATTGGCCAGCAGTGAATGTATGAGTCTGTTAATTAAACGAGAGCAGCAGGAAGATGAAGTCCTAAGTGGTCTCTTTTGTCAGAGCAGAAGCTGGGCAAGTTTTAAGAGCTGTGCTGTCTGCTCGCTGCAATTTACTGCTCTACTTCACACTGCCTGCACGGACTGAAAAAGACTGCGATTGCTTCGGCAGCTTTTTTATTTTTAGTTCTAACGTTTATGTCATAAATTAATTTTCAGATAAATAGAAGACAGCTTTAAAGTACATGCTAGTGGCCGACAGTAGTTCTGTTAGGTTTAATTTCCTGAGTTTCTGTGTTTGATAGGAAGCCTTGTAGTGCACAACTCAAAAAGTAGAACAGGGAGTGATGGGTGAAGAAAAGATGCCGTCACTAGTGCTGTAGTAATGAAACCGTACATGTGCAATGGTTCTTTGACTTGCAGAGCATGATATAGCTTGCTGCTCTTTTTGTAAATAAAATGCTTAATTCCTGTTAAAAATGAGCCTGTTTGATCGTGACCTTTTAAGCTAACCTTCTATGAAAAGCGGTAGATATAATGTACCTCTGCTCTCTGTTTTTAGCTGATGTAATAGCATAGCTGCTTTCTAAAATCCTGATGAAGAGGAGATCTAGGGTGCCAATTTACACGTGTGCTTTGAAGAGTAACCAGCATTTCTCAGATGCAGTGCTGATTAAAAATTTGTCTTGATTGCTGGGTATCCAAAGATTCATTAAAGAGTTTGAATTTGAAATGAGAAAGCGTGTCGTTAGTGCATCTCGGAGACGAGCACTGGAGTCTGAGGGCATTTCTGAACAAACCTCCTGAATCCTATGTAGCCAGTTTCATCTGTGTAAACCTGTCCGCAGCCAGACTCAGATATCACGTATATGAACAGAAATTACAGTAACTGCATTAACTTCAGTCGGATTCCTCCTGGCGTAGCTCAAGGAGGCGAATCCAGTCGTACGGTGAAGATGCGCTTGCGATACTGTACAGCAAAGCGTGTCGGTGCTAAGCCGCTCCTGCGAAACCTGATGGCAACGCTGTCGCGCGCATCGACGGGGACTGCCTGTCTGGTCTATCTGAGCTGATTTCAGCCTTGAAGTACTGCTTGTTGCCTTTTCTTGCAAGTCAGACGTTCCCGGCCTGGATGTGCCCGTGCTGTCAGCAGTGGGTTTCACTGAACGGTGCGTAATTCCCTGAGTTGCTAACGTCCATACTGGCAACCGGTGGATGTTTGGTCTGGTTCTACTCGTTCAACGAGGAAATCTGCTAGGGCTGGGAAAAGAGGGCAGCTTCGTCTGTCCTTGTTGGTTCCCGTATGAATCCAGACGTGAGCTGCACCTATGGAGCGTGCCCCGGGAATGCTGGCTTTTGAGGCCACTGTGGCAGAAATGCCTTCCTTTCATGGCAGAAGAAATGCTATACGCGTTTCCAGCTTATTGATTGGGTTAGCTTGCAGTTATGAAAGGGAGGTTAAAATGACCGCAACTTCACAATTTTTAACAAAATTTAGGCAGAGCTGTTTTGTCTCTATGTAAATCATTAACAGCAATGTTACGAGTTTCCCTAATTAAACAGTGAACAAATTTAATGTATCATTTGGTACAGGGTAGAGCAGCTCTGCTGTGTGCTTTACACAGATAAATTAACTATGTGTGTTTCATGGCACGGCTGCTTGAGAATTGCACATTTAAAAGCAGCATACTATTATGGGTTTTTTGTTTGTTTGTTTTAAATGGCAAAGGAAAAATGCAGTTTGTGCTGGTGTTGCAGGGTTTTTCCCATTTCTCAGTTTCAAAAATAACTGCGGACTTCAGCAGCAAGAATTTTATTATTACTAATTGCTAGGCATGAGTTTTGTAAAGCTTTACCAAGTCCATAATGCTTTATTTAATTAACATTTATTTAGCTTGTGAAGGTGAATTTAAGACAATCAGTAGCAGCAGCAGAAATTAGGATTTATTCTTCTGTGATCATGCGACAGGCACTAGAAGAGAGAAATACACTTGCTTAAAACCTACTGCCTTGATGTCTGCATCTGCCCTTACTTCATTAAGGAGAGCAGAGATAGGCCTCTCTGGGTGTCGATTGGTGACTTTTTTGACCATAATGTGGCATAATTGACCTACATTGGTCACAAGTGGCATAGAGGGCTCAAGCCTAAAATGAGGACTTACAGGATCAATTCTGTTCTGCTCCATTAGGAGCCTCGCAAAGCGCAGAGCATCTTCCCCTGCCACTGAAAGCATCTCCATCTCCCACAGAAACCAGCGGTTCGTGGGTCCTTCTCCATGCCTTTACGTCTGAGCACAGAAAAGCTTCCTCTGGAGTCTTCACCAAATGTGGGGAAAGCCTCTGTGTTAAATGAGATGTATGAGTGCTTTCTTTAAGTAGGATCTTTATTTTCTGTGCTGCAGCTTCCTTCCCTATCTCACAGGGCCTTACAGTACTAACAAATACAGGCACACACTAGCACACCTACTTTGGAGGGACTTATCTGCTGGATTGAAGTGACCCTGGAAGTCAGATAAAGGCTGCGAAATGTCAGTAAAGCTTAGACGCAGAACCTGGAAAAGCAAACCCCCAGGTACAGAGCAAGTCGTGCATCTCAACTTGTTGAAACCTTTTCCTATTATTTTATGCCTACTCCACGTAGTTGAGAGGGTTACTTTGGGAAACTGCACATCCAGCTTAAAAAAAAAAAAAAGTTGTTATTATGCTTCTGTTTAGCGTATTATTTGTAAACCTTGTCTTGAAAAGCCTGGAGGGAACTGTTGTCCGCAGAACATCTACATGAACATCTGCGTAACACTGCTTACACCGTACTCTCTCTCACCTTCAGATGTTACAAGATTTAGGGTATACAGAAAAAGCGATGTAAGTAATCTGTAAATCAAAATTGGAAAACTGGGTGATTTGTATATGTTTCCTCTGCTTTGTATTTATATGAGATTTCAGTGTAATGTGCAGAGTACTGGATGGCAGAGGATGGTGACTGCAATTAGAAATGTGGGGTAGCAGTGTGGTACCTGCTTTGAGGGTTGCTGCCTTGGCAAGATGACACTTGTGCTTTTGGCGTTATCCTTCATGTTGTGTCCCCGTTTGTACGTGCACCGCTCCTGCAGAATTCAGACGGTCCTTCGTATGTGCACACCTGAGACAAGGAATTTCTCTGTAGTATGTTTTTCTAGCACTGCAGGCAGCATTAGCCCTATCCTCCTCTCACAAGTAGTTTGGGTCCAAAGTACTTCTTTTTGTGTCAGTGGAGATCTGTCACATTAAATACAACTTGGGTAACGGTGACAGAAGAATTGTGCTTGCTATTGCACAAAATGAAACAAGGCAATTTTTACTGTGTTTTGCACCTCTGTATGAATATAACTGTTGACCTGATACACTGGAAGACATTTGTGTTTTCAGTCATGACTAATATCTCAGGATTGCTGAAGATAAGCAAGCTAATTGTAAGAATAAGCTAAATGGTGAGAGAAATGCAATGCAATCCAGTCCTGACAGCTGTTCTTTCTGTGTTCCAGTTTTCCACTTCTCCTACCTTACTTTTCCCCTTTTTTTTCTTTTTCCTTTCTTTCAGAAATCTGTTAGTCTTGTACTAGAGTAGAGGATGAAATGGATGGCTTCTTAAAGTCTCTTCCATTTCTGGGCTGCCTAGAATATAGCTTATTTGTTTTCGCTCTCCCAGTCTCCCAATCGTCTCTCATTAATTTCTTTCCCATGGATATCTTTTGTATTTTTTCATCTTGCTCTTCTATGCTGCATCCTGTTAGATGAAATTGAACCTTCTCTTTCCTACTGTCGCCTGTCTCGTTTGTTCTTCATGTCTTTCCCTCGTAATTCCAGCATCAGTTTTCTGCAGGTTTTTGCTCCTGTAAGTTTATATCTTAGTCACATTGCTTGTCTTTATGAAAGCACTTCACTGCTCAGCAGGAGGTAGTGCTGCGTTTTGATGGGACAGATTTTACTTGCCACCCCCTCTGGGCAAGCTGCACCAATTACAGCGAATTTCCAGGATGCTGCACTAGATAAAGTTGGGGAAAGAGGGGGTTAGCTACAATTTAGAGTACTCACGTGGTTGCAGTTTTAGATGATGCTGACCATTAAGGAAAGCAACTTCTTAAATATTTATTTTGAAGTCAGTTCAGTAAATACATGGCTGCTTTGTGCATAGTTAATCTTGCTAGAGAAGTGGTATATTGCTTTTTGCTGAGTAATTCAGATCACAGTACAACCATAATTATGGCCAGGATGAAGGGATTTTTTTTGCCTTCAAAGGAATGAGAGTTTTCTTGTATACGTGTATGTATTCTTAAACTTCTATGGTGTTACAAGTATTTGTTAAGACTCCTGTTGTCACAGACTGGTGTTATCTTACAAGCATTTATGAAGGCTTCCTAACAATATTCCTTTGGGTTAAAGAAATACATGTAGGAGACTCCATTTTATTTATATAGGCGAAAGTGTGAACACATTGACATGACCTGCTCCAAAAGCAGCCAGGAGGCCTGTGGCAGAGTTAGGGAAGTACCTCACTGCTCCTGAATCGCAATTCAGTGCCTTAACAAGTATTCCCCTGTGTCTGGCCTTTAGCTACTCTGTTAGCATCAGCAAACACTTCATTTTCTGGCAACGACTGCGTTCTGTATACTGCAGCTTTTTGTGTTGCTCTGGCATTGTGATTTCCATGAAAATTGACAGCTTTCACACTTTAATGCTGCTTCTGAGAGATTGAGGGGTCTTTAGAAATTTATTTTTCTGTAGTGGCTCACGCCAGCTCCTGCATTAGAATTTGAGAATCAGAAAAAACTTAAAATCTGTGTTTTCAGCTAAAATTGTGATTTAAGGATCTTTTAAAAGTAGCCGCATTTCCACCTAATGGAAATTACAACCCGTATTAACATATTAATCCTCTTTATGTATAGAGTGTTTCCAGAGCTGTTAGTTGCCCAGTGAGCCAGGCTGCTTATCATTAAATAAGTGATGCTGGGAATAGTATATTATTGTCATAGTTTCAGCATGAGTGTGTCAGCGATGAGCCAGGGACTTAACCCATGCCAAGGAGTGAGTCACAAAGATTGTGTGGCAGGGCTGCACTGCGATGGCGCTGACACACAGCATCTCGTACCCGCTTTTAGTCCCCATGCACCAGAAACGTCTTTTCATTTTCATTATTCCCCCAGCTAATGAGTTGCCTAAGATGCTGTGCATTTGTGCAGAGCGCTTGTCATAATCAGAGAAGTGGGGAAAAAAACCAGACCGAGAATGGTTTTTCTGTTTATGTTCCTTTGTTCTCACTATAGCTTCCAGATTGAGAGTGTCTACAGGATAAAAAAATTTACTTCTTACTGCTGACCCTGTAAATTCAATCTGATATTTGCATGCTAAGCTGTGCTTTATGTGTTCCTTGTGATGTGTTGTATGGAAGAGAGTTGGCAGTCTCCTCGGACAGCTTCAGTGATGAAACGTGAGTTATAAAGCTTTCTCTGGTAGTCAAAAGATGATACAACTACAACGGTGGCATACTTTTTTTTTTTTTTTAAGGCCATGAGCACCATTAAAGCAGGTAGGAGAGGTGCAAATGAAGTGAGAACTTGGCGTAGGCTGGGCCCAAGGTGCTTGCAGAGGTTCAGCTGACTGCATTTTCAGGTTCAGTTCTGCTTTCTCCAGTGTCTTATTTTTACTAAAGGAGATTGACCTGTGCATAAGTTATAAAGTTGGTCTGTGAGTTGCTCTGCCTCTCTCTCTCCATGTTTCTGTGGCATATGCAAAGAGGAACGGCTCAGGAAGGTGTGATGGAGAGTCCCTCACGTAAGTAATCAGCAGCCAGGTAATTAGGGAACTTGCTTACAGAAAACCCACATCCAAGGACCTGTTTGGCACAGGAAGGGCTGAGGATTAAACCTGCGGTAGCTTTTTCTGCACCGAATTGCCAGGACCACCCAGCAGCCTGGAGTCCTCCCTTTTTATTTGAGCAAGAAGCCAAATAAATGCAAGCCTCACTATTGCTGAAGCTGTTGTGTTGCAATCGATGTTTCCATAGCAAGCTCTAGCAATGACCCAAAGGCTAGAATAAAATACCATCTTTCTGAGTCATGCTGATGTTGCAGTGCTAACAGTGAAAACTTCCTTTACTCAATAAAATAAACAGATAAGATGCAAAGTCATACCA